ATAAATAAATAAATCTTTAAAAAAATGGAATAGCTGAGACTGGAACTTGCAGTCCAATATGTGGTGCAGGCTTCCCAAGCTGTAGCTTAGCCAACTGGATCACAATACCATCCTCAGATCTTTATCAATTCTTCCATTGCACTAACATTTGGTTTGGTTTATTCTTGTTTTTCTAGGTCCTTGATATACATTGTTAGGTTGTATGTTTTATAACTTCTTTTTTTTTCTTGCTCTTCCTTTTTTTTATTGAAAGGCAGAATGACAGAAAAAGAGGGACAGAGAGAAAAAGAGATGTTCCATCTGCTGGTTCATTCCCCAAATGAATGCAACTGCCTTGGCTTGGCCAGGCTGAAGCCTGGAGTCTGGGACTGCATGTAAGTCTCCCACGTGAGTTGCAGGGACCTAAATACTTGGGCCGTCTCCTGCTGCTTTCATAGGCACTCTAGCAGGGAGCCGGATCATAAGCAGAACAGGCAGAACTCAAACAGGTGCTCAGATATGGAACATCCATGTCATGAGTGGCAGCTTAACCCTGTGTGACACAACACCAGGCACTGATCATTTTTTTAATGTAGGGACTTACTATTTTATATTCATTCTTAGGAATCCCCAGAATTTGTATATTTCTCTTAATATTGGCCTGCACAGTTCAAAGGCTATCTCCATTTTATATCCTTTTTTTTTTTTTGGAGGGGAGAGGGGTCTGGTTTATTCCAACAGATGTCTTGAATTTCAGATAATATTTTTTTCTTAGCTTGGTCTAGTCTGTTATTGAGGCTTTCAGCTGTACTTTTTATTCAACACTGAATTCTCCATTTTCAGGATTTCTGTTTGACTCTTTTTCAAGATCTCTGTATCTTTGCTGAATTTCTCATTAAAGCCATGAATTGTTTTCTGGCTGTTGTTCATCTCAGAGTGTGTTTTCTCTTGTATCTCTTTGAGCATCCTAGTAATCATTACTTTGAATATCAGGTATTTTTAAGTCTCTTTTCCTTGGAATTTGTTACTCAAACATTATTTTTTCCTTTGGAGGTGTTATACTGCCTTGCCTTTTCATACTTCAGTGTTCCTACATGGATATTTGTCATCTGGCAGAATAGCTGTTTCTTTCACAAGATTGATTTGTTTATTTGAGGCAAAGTTACAGAGAAAGGGGAAGAGACAGAAAGAAAGATCTTCCATCCAGTGGTCACTCCCCTAAATGGCCACAGTGACTAGAGATGGGCTGATCCAGAGCCAGGAACCAGGAGCTTCTTCCAGGTCTCCCCATGCAGGAGCAGGGGCCCAAGTACTTGGGCCATCTTCTGCTGCTTTTCCAGGCCATACCAGAGAGCTGGATCGGAAGAGGAGCAGCTAGGACACAAACCAGCACCCATCTGGGATGCCGGCACTGCAGGTGGAGGCTTAGCCTACTAAGCCACAGCACTGGACCCTTCTTTCACTTTTAATCAGTTGATTTTGTGTAAAAGACTTTTTCCTAAAAATGTGTATTTGGGTATCTGGTAAGAATTTTGGCTTTATTTTAATTTGGATGCTGTGAACTCTCCCAATGTCTTCTTTCATAGCAAAGGATGACAGTGGCATTTGGGACATGGGGTTCTCTCCTCAGTCCTCGAGGAATGCATGGTTCTTGGTAGCAGCTCATATGGCAGAGTCCAGGGCCACAAGGGTACCACCCTCAGTCCACTGTGCCTGAGGTGCAGGAATGCTGCCCTGAGATCTGACGTGGTTGCTCAGGTGCTCGCGTTGGCAGGGATGTGTTTGCTGTCACAGAGGCACTAAGTCCAGCAAGGATTCAGGAGTTCCTGGAGTGCCAGCCCCATGCTTCCATACAATGCCTGAATACCCATCTGCCTTTTTTTTTTACCCCAGTTACTCTCTCTGTGTTGTACTGCCTGGAGTTGAGGGTTGAGGGAGGATTGGAATGAGCAGTCTTGTGGCCACCTATGATACAATGCTAGATCAAACCTAAGTCCTTCAGCCTGCAAAAAAAAAAAAAAAAAAAAAAAAAAAAAAAAAAAAAAAGGCCTGCAGACTCGGGTATGGTCAAGCGCAAATTTGTCATGACCTGCCAACTGCTGACATGGACTTGCTACCTGAGACCACTGCAATCAACCACATGTGATGTCGGCCTGGATATAAGTCTAATTCACTGGGGCTGTGGTCTCCACCTGTGACAAGGGCTGGTCCTCTGTCTACAAGCACTGACCGTGGGACTATTAATACCTGCCAAGCGATGGTTTTACCAGATCTGTGATGCAGTTCTGTGCTCACTTTATTGCCCTACTCCCTCATGGCTGGACCTTGTTCCTTGCTTGCCTGTGGTCGGGGAACAGGGATGGGGGAGATCTCTTGGCTGTCCATTTTGAGAGTAAGTTGGCATTATCTTGTAGTTGTGTGCCAAGCCCTTAGGAGGTTGAAGGTGATGCAGGGAGAAAGAGTTGTCTGTTCCTACATGGGTGTAGTTCTTCATCTGGTGTTAGGGCAGGTTTGTCTCTGTCTGCACATGCAGGTCCAGTTATAGGAGCCTTGCTGTCTGTCTGGTGCCACTGTAGTGGGACTGCTACTGATCTCAATTTCCTGCCCTACTCCTTTGTGGTTGGTCTTCTTTGCTGTCTGCTTGAAGGTAAGCAGCTTTAAGGCTAGGTCCTAACTCACTTTACTGCCCTGCTGCCCAGGGACTGGAGTTTGCCCTGCTGTGTGCTGGAGTTTGAGGCAGGAGTACATGGCTGAGGAGGATCCAAAGTCTTAGTCTGTGAGTCCTGTCCAGGAGGCAGAGACCATGGCGTCCTCTCTGAGTCTGGATTTCACAGTCACAAGCCTGGTCTTGAGTTTCAAGTCTAAGGTCTGGACTTCCCTCTTCCCCAGGCAGTAATTGTTTCTCTCTAGACTGGGCTGCTCGGAGCTTGGGGAAGGGTGATGTAGTAAAAATTTCCTTCTTATCCTTAAAAAACAAGAAAAATGATTGATTGATTTGAAAGGATTAGCATCAGAAACAGAGAGAGAGATCTTTGATCCACTGGTTCACACCTTTGATGGCCTCAATGGCTAGATCTGGGCTAGATCAAAGCCAGGAGTCAGAAACTCCCTCAGTATCTCACAGAGGTGCCAGGGGCCCAAGCATTTGGACCATCATCTGGTGATGTTCCAATTGCATTAGCAGGGACTGGATTGGGAAGCAGAGTCACTTGAGACAGGAACCTAAGCTCCCAAATCAGCTGTGATTTAATTCACTGTGCCACAGTGCCCCTTGTTGCCTTCTTCACTACCTTGTTATTTTTTTTTATTTTTTATACATTTTTTTTATTTGACAGGTAGAGTTACAGACAGTGAGAGAGAGAGACAGAGAGAAAGGTCTTCCTTCCATTGGTTCACTCCCCAAGGCTGCTATGGCCGGTGCTGTGCCGATCTGAAGCCAGGAGCCAGGTGCTTCTTCCTGGTCTCCCATGCAGGTGCAGGGGCCCAAGCACCTGGGCCATCCTCCACTGCCCTCCCGGGCCACAGCAGAGAGCTGAACTGGAAGAGGAGCAACCGGGACTAGAACCAGCATCCATATGGGATGCCAGCACCACAGGCACTGTGGTCACCTTGCTTTGGCTTTTGTGAAGGTGAATTAGTTTGTGAACAGCTATTCAAATTAATATCTGTGTTGAGAGAAGTTCACCTGAATATCTTACTCAGCAGCCATTTGGTCCTTCCCAGGGAGAAGTTTTGAAAGTTAGTTAGTTTAGCTTTTTGAATCTAGAAGTTAAATTATTTCTTGAACAAGAAAAAAGCCACACATCAATTTATACTCTCTTGAACTGCTGAGTGTATTTTAAAAATGATTTGAAGTCTTGATAGTAAAGATTTTTATGTATCTTTATAAGTAATCAGCAACTTGAAAGGATGCAGGAAATACCTTCCCATCATTCACATTTTTTGGTTTAGTACCTTTTGCATTCATAGGTAAGATTGTCATACATCTCATTTAAATAATAGACAGCAGTTCAAAGTATTAAAGGAGAGAGTGATAGTGGGACACAATCCTTCTTTGGACAACAAGATTTAAAATTCAGAAATTTGAGTTCTAGTCACACTCATACAATAAAATTTTATTTTATTTAATGATATGAGCTGATTGGAATCAATTAATCTGGCAGTTATACTACAGATAAGGGGGATCAACCTGAATCCTTTCCCCTCCATGCCACCATCTTAAATTTCTAAGGCCTAGATATTTTAATTATTTTTCCACAGTTTCATACCTTAGTAGGTAGCAGAGGAGGAAGGAAGGACTAGAATTAAGCTTCCTTTTCTGATAGCATTGTTTTCCTGACTTCATTTCGTTGCCTGATTTTTGTTGTGAATTTATAATTATATGATACAAACTTTGTATGTTCTTAAGAATAAATACATGATTTAGGGAAGCAAAATGGAAAAAGCACAAAGAAATAAGACAAAGTTGACATCTTAGCTCTACCACTTACTAAACGTATAACTTGAGGCAAGGTAACTACCTCTCTGATTGCTAATTACCTCATCTGTAAAATCATTTTCAATAGCACCTATGTCATACAGTTGTAGTTACCTATAAATTGTGTGGAACCCCTGGCCCCATTACATAACATATAGTTACTAGGTAACAAGTTTTCTTTCTTCACATGTCCTTTCCCTCTCTTTTCTAAAGTTTCCTTTAACTTTCAATCAACTGTTTCACCTGACAAATTTGGCCCTTATCTCAGAAAGTTTTTTTAAAAAATCACTTATAGTTCTAAATTGGTAATAAATGAGTATTTTAAGAATCTGATTTATCTACAATTACTTGTAGCTTATATAGTGTGAATCTTTATGTGACCTGTTCTTATATTTAGTCTAACAATCTCATTATATTTAGTCTAACAATCTCATTATCAGATGTTCTTATTTCTAGTTTCCGTATTTGTTCCAGAAGCACCACAACCTTTATAGTTATGATTTCAGGGAGCACAATATGTGCAACCTTGTTTTTTTTTTTTCAGAAACCAAAGACAAAACATGACCTTTTGTTGTAATCTCCACAGTGGAGACACTTTTGAGAGGAGAAAGAAATATTTTTGATTGATGAAAATGTCTTCTTGACAAATGATAGTAGAACTGGTCAGTATCTCTTTTTATATATTGTATGAGTATAATTTCTCTGAACTAATTGATTACTTAAGGCTCTGAAATTACTACCTTCCATTAAAAAGGTTAGCTGATTTTTGTGTCTGTAGCCTTACATTAAATTATTTTTGCATTTATAGTCTTGAATTAAGTAACCAAGCTGGTTTGACCCTACTGTTACAGTGTGAGCTCCTTTCCTTTGGAAACCACTTCAAGCCATTTTGATTATCTTCCACCAGGCTGTATGTGTTGTGTGTGTGTGTGGGAGGGTTGTTTAAGTTTGCTTATTTACATAGTCAGCCATAAGCCCCATCATCCAAGGCATGTCAGTGTTTATCTTCGAGTAGATAGGCATTCGTTTGAAACATAGGGTAAGCTGCTCTGAATCAGTCCCTTCCCCTACACAGACTTCTTTTTGTTGTTGTTGTTGGCACTGTATTCCAGGTTGAAATGCCTCCGCGTCAGTGCCATGGGTCACTGTTGGTAATATATATTAGTGTGTTGTGCTTTGTAGGTATGGTGGTAAAAATACGTAACATAACCTACATATTTGGTCAATAATACTGAAGTTATTTGAGGAAATATTGCATAAACATTCAAAAGTGGAAACCTTTTTAAAAATTTACAACAACTTCTTATTTGTTTACTTACTAACTTGCTTAGTAGTAATATATTGAACTCTAATTTTCATTATCAGATATTTGACTTCACAGCAGGCTGTTATACTCAACAATATGGTTTAAGGGAGAAATTTTCAAAGAAATTTTATTAGAAATGGAGATTTAAGATTTATCTATTTTATAGACACATTGCCTTGATTGTTGGGACACAGTGGCAGCAGTTAATTTTTTTAAGATTTATTTTATTTATTTGAAAGACAGAGTTACAGAGAGAGGTAGAGCCAGAGTGGGGGGATCTTCCATCCTTTGGTTCACTTCCCCAGATAACTGCAATGGCCAGAGCTGAACTGATCCGAAGCCAGGAGCCAGGAGCTTCTTCCAGGTCTCCCACATGGGTGCAGTGGCCCAAGGACTTGGGCCATCTTCCACTGCTTTCCCAGACCATAACAGAGAGCTGCATTGGAAATGGAGCAGCTGGGACAGAAACTGGCGCCCATATGGGATGCTGGCACTACAGGCTAGGGTTTTAACCTGCTGTGCCACAATGCCGACTGCTGTAGCAGTTAGTTTTCTCATTTTATTGTTAATCCAGGGCTTTCAAGTACTTTTCAGAGCTCTTTCTCTCCCTACTCAAGAGAATACATCTTCAGTCATTTTGCGTATCTTTCTTGTACTTCCTTTGTAGACAAGCCTATGTGTTAAAACTAATAGACTCAGGGGCCAGCGCTGTGGTCCAGTGGGTTAATGCCCTGGCCTGAAGTGCCCGCATCCCATATGGGTGCTGGTTTGAGACCCAGCTGCTCACATCCTGTCCAGCTCTCTGCTATGGCCTGGGAAAGCAGTAGAAGATGGCCCAAGTCCTTGAGCCCCTGCACCCACACACCCACATGGGAGACCAGGAAGAAGCTCCTGGCTCCTGGCTACAGATTGGCACAGCTTCGGCCTTTGCGGCCATCTGAGGAGTGAACCATTGGATGGAAGATTCTCTCTCTCTCTCTCTCTCTCTCTGCCTCTTCTCTTTCTGTGTAACTCTGACTTTCAAATAAATAAATCTTTTAAAAAAGAAAAACTAATAGACCCAAAGGAATCCAAACACAAGCTCCTCCTCTTGGAGAACTTGTGCTTTAGTTAGAGAGAGAAACTTGGAAATAACTAACACAGCTGATAACTGGGGTTACAGTGGAAGCTTTTATCAAGGATCTGGAAAAGACCAAATGGGGTAATTAAAATTAAATGGTACTTAGGAGGAAGATCTGTTTGCTCAGCACTCTAGAGGGGCAGGAGTTTGCAGGGAGATGAGTGATAGGAACACAATCTTCAGTTTCTGCTCCTTAGGAATGTATCCTTTTGGTTTCTTCTGCAGTTTGAGAGTGGGTTAGATTTGGTTTTACTTTAGTCAATGACAGAATTGTGCCTTACTGATAAAGATAGCTAATGTGACCCACAATATGGGTAGTCACATAGCTGAGTATCTATTTCATGTGGTGACAGTGTTACTTTGCATGAACTGCTATTTTGATTAAAGTTTTAAATTTAGTTATATTTGAATCTTATCAAAATATTTAACTGAGAGTTGAAAATGAGATCACACACTATTTGAAATATTTGATAATGGGTATTATGTGCCTAGAAATATAAGGAACATCAGTAAGATAGCTATGATATTAAAAATAGCTTGTTACTGAGAAAAATGTTGAAAGTAAAATATGCCCCAGTATCATCTGTGTATAGGGATACAATTTACATTCTAGGGTTATATGTACAGTATTCAGAGATAGAGAAGTGGTTTAGTCTGGTTGACATATTCTCAAACAGCTCCAAAAACTTTATTCTAATCAACCTGTTCAGATTAGGAAACTAATTCAGGTGCATGCCCTTTAGAAGCAAAACAGGATAGTTGCACACTCTGAACTCTCACCTCTTTTTAAAATGTCCTTTTAGGTCTTAAAGTTATCTTGAACAGCACAATTCTGCTATCATAGAACTAGACTTAGACTTACTGTTCTCTGGATTTTCTTTAGAGCACAGTAATAAGTTCACACTCTCCAAGGTAGCTACTGTTTTGCTCCATCCTTTCTCTGTGTTGCCACACCTAGAACCTACTTATCTCCTTTGTACTTTGTAAGTCAGACTTTTTCCCCCATATGAGAGATTTGAGTGAGGGTGGAAGGGCATAAGAGAAATGAATAAAGCCAAAGTGATTTGTTTAGTGATTTTACTACTGCCCCCTTTCTCCTATGCCATCAGAGCTGCTGATAGATTCTAAAGAAGGAACAACCATTTTCCTGCTTCTATATCACTAGATGCCATTTCTAATCATAGTATTTTATGTATTCAACTCAGATGCAGAGATAGAAAGAAACAGAGGCAAACACAGAAAGAGAATTCCCATCTACTGGTTCACTCTCTAAATGACTGTCATGGCTGGAACCAAAGCCAGGAGCTATTAACTGAATTTAGGTCTCTTGCATGTGTGTACGGACCAAGTCACTTTGTCATCACCACCTAATGGGACTACTATAAAGGCTGTATAGAAAAATGAGATTTTTGGGGGTGTTAAACCTCAGTTTTACAGTAATATTTCTGGAAACATCTATTTGGTTCATAAAAAGATATCTGTAGGGCCGGCACTGCAGCTCACTTGGCTAATCCTCCACCTGTGGCGCCATTACCCCGGGTTTTAGTCCCTGCTGGGGAACCAGATTCTGTCCCAGTTGCCCTTCTTCCAGGCCAGCTCTCTGCTTTGGCCTGGGAGTGCAGTGGAGGATGGCCCAAGTGTTTGGGCCCTGCACCCACATGGGAGACCAGGAGAAGCACCTGGCTCCTGGCTTTGAATCAGCGTGGTGCACCGGCTGCAGTGTGCTGGCCGCAGCGGCCATTGGAGGGTGAACCAATGGCAAAAGGAAGACCTTTCTCTCTGTCTCTCTCTCTCTCTCACTGTCCACTCTGCCTGTCAAAAAATAAAATAAAAAAAGTAAAAATATCTGTGGTCATATAATTAAATTTTTATGGCATTTATTGGGGGAATATTCAAATTATTAGGAATATAGATAACACAATAGCAAATTTAATATACCAAAGGGAAAATCAGGACCAGATTTAGGTTCTGTTAAAGTATTTGAACTTTAAAATAGTTTAAAATTTTTGTAATAGGGTCACTATAGCTAACAGAGTTTTGATGAAAATTTAATTTGGAAAAGGAAATAAAAAGAAAATGGTTAATCTTTCATTGTGATTTGGAGAAACTGTTTTTGAAAAATTAGTAAGAAAAATACTACTCCTGGAGCCAGCACTGTGGTGCAGCTGGTTAAACTGCTGCCTATAGCGCCGGCATCCATATTGGCACCAGTTCAAATCCCGGCTGCTCCAACTCTGATCCAGCTTCCAGCTAATGTTTCTGGGAAAGATGGTGCAGTAGAAGATGGCTCAAGTGCTCAGGCCCTTGCACCCATGTTGGAGACCCAGATGAAGTTCCTGGATCCTGGCTTTAGCAGTGACCAGCCCCAGCCGATGTAGTCACTTGGAGAGTGAACCAGCATACTCTAACCAACCAGAATATAATCAGAAACTTAGAGGAGAATAATTGAATGGCTGAAAGGTCTGCTGATTAAAGTATATTTCATCACAGGAAGGCTTTACCAATCAATCCTATTTTCTTCCATTTAGTCTTATTTCTCATTTCTCCCTTTATTTAAAATTTAAGAAGATGATAGTTTATGATGTCAAAATAGACTGAAATATGCAATAAGTGTAAAGTCTGAGCAAATGACAAAGGTGTATAGATTTGAGATTTCTAAAAGCTAATGTCCAGTAGTCTCCTCTTATTCCCTAGTACATTCTAAGACCTCAGGAGTGTTGTGTACATCCGTAGATGCATGAAACCACAGAAAATTCACGCCTTGGCCCTCCAAACTAAGTCCTTACTATCACACACTATGGCTGAAACTTCTGTAATTTTAGGTACAAGGCTAAAGTAGCCTGACATTCTTTTTCTCCCCTCACAAGATCATTGATAAAAGTTTCATCCCTAATGTAGGTCAACGTCAGGGTATATATTTTTTCTTTAATAAGTCAAACTGTGTTACCTTTTTAGTTTGCTTTTCTGTGAGATACCTGAATTACCACATCACTATTCTTGTGCTTTGGAGTCATTATTAAACAGAATAAAGCTTCCTTGAGCATAAGCATTGTGACTCCCTAACAGCCACTCTGATGACTTGAAATGGCTCCCAAGTGGCTAATGGGTAGTAGTGTGCACAACATGGATACACTGGGCAAGACAGAGCACAATGGCATGAGATTTCATCACGCCACTCATTACCACGTATAGTTTACAACTCTGAAATTGTTTACTTCTGGAATTTTCCATTTAATATTTTTGGACCCTCATTGACCAGGCATAACAAGCCATAGAAAGCGAAACTGCACATAAGTGAGGACTACTGTATGAGCATTAAATGGACTGGTAACAGATAGCCCTGATGGGCATATGAGAAATGCCTCTAAAATAGAAAGGAGAGGTCTACAGACAAAACCATTATTTAATGTAGGGACACATAGCCATGTATTTTTGAACTGTACACCACATATGGGCGAAAACAACTTTAAAGTTTTGGAATGTATTGGTACTCTGCCTAGCGCTGCAGGTGGATAAAGGATGTGCAGCCAGTAAAGTCTATGCAGATCTTCCAAAATCTTAAAAATCTGAAGCACTTCTGAATCCTAACCATTTTGGATAAGGATGTTCACCTTGTAATGATTTTTAGTGAGTTTTTTTAGGAGGCTTAGGTGGTGATGTACATCTCCATAAGCCTCTGTGAATTGTTTATTCAAGTACATTAATCCCAACAAATTTGAAATTCGTATTTGACCTTCAACTAAAGTTGATCACATGACCCATTTACTTTCTTTTTAACCTGTCCTTTCTTAGTTCTTTTAGACAATCTGTTGCTGAGTCTGGTTATATCCATATCTGGTACCACCATTGGTACCTAATAGAGCTAACACTGTTGCCACTGAAGATGGACTTTCCTCACTTTCACATGTGTATGTGACAAGAGTTTGGTGAGAGGAGACAGTGGCTGAGGGTGGTGGTGGTGACAGAAATACCATGGGAAAAGGCAATGAGAGGGATAGGAAAGAAAAAGAAACTCTTACATGCTTACCTGATAGTTCTGACTAGTGCCACTATGCATTTAGAATTATGACATACTGTATAAAAGCCTCTTTTAAGGAATTATTTTGATTTATTTGACCACATGTATTAGTTAACAAAGTTTTTTTTTTAAATTGAATTGTATTTAGTTACACAGAAATGCACAAATACACACACTCTCAGTGAGAGGAAAGAGGAGAGAGAGAGAGAGAGAGAGAGAGAGAGAAGAGAGAGAGAAAGCTTAGATCCCCTAGTTGGCTCTCCACATGCCACAATGGCAGTTAGGCCATGCAAACACTGGAGCTGAGAACCAATTCAGGTCCCCTCCTGGGTGGCAGAGACCAAGTTACTTGAGCTATCACCTGCTGCCTCCCAGAATGTACATTAGCAGGAAGCTAGAAATGGGGGGTAGAACTGAGATTCAGATCAGACACTGATATGGGATGTGGGCATGTTAACTGGCTTTTTAACCACCAGGTCAAATGTCTGAACCTTTTTACTTTTAATGTTTGTTTTCTTTCTCCAGTTGTACTACAAATGATTATGTATCATGTGTAGATTTATCTTTATATTCCTTGAAATTTTACAGTTTTGCTTTTAAACCTGTGTGTGTGTGTTATCATTGTTAAAATATTTTGAGCTTCACTGTCAATATGGGAACCATTAGCCATATAAATTTTGACTTAAATTAATTAAAATAAAATATGTAATTCTTCAACTGCATTAGCCATATTTCAACTTCTCAGTTACTATGTGTGATGAGTGGTTACCATTTTGGACAGTTAGTTATGGAATATTTCTGTGTTCTCAGAAAATTTTGTTGGATAGTGGTGGTATAGAACTTGTACAGTGAATGATGGATTCACTTAAATTGTAACTTATTTTCATCTTTAAAAGAAAATATTTAACAGAAACATCTATTTCTATTTTTATAATATTCCATGAGTCCATCTAGTGTTGGAAAACATGCTTAAGAGATAAGATGGAGACCAGCATCATTGTGCAATGGGTTAAGCCACCACCTTTGACAGCAGCACCCTGTACAAGGGCAGGTTTCAGTCCCAGACGCTCTGCTTCTGATCCAGCTCCCTGCTAATGCCTGAAGAAAAATCAGTGGAGGATGGCCCAAGCACTTGGCCCCTGCCACTCCTGTGGGAGAATGGATGGATTTCCAAGCTCCTGGCTTTGGCCTTGCTCAGCCCTGGGTATTGGGGCCATTTAGGAGGTGAGCTGGTGGAAAGAGGATCTCTCTCTATCTCCCTCTCTGTCTGTGACTCTACCTTTCAAATAAATAAATCCATTTTTTTAAAAAAGAGGTAAAATGACCTTTTAATTAGGACTTGGGATTTTGCTAAATAAATGCCTATTTTTAAATTGTTGGAAAAAAATTTGTTCTTGACTGTATAAGTATTTCCTTTTCAGTACTGCTTACATTACAAACTGTGTGGCCAATTCTTTACCTTGTTATAGAAAGCTAGACATCAAGCTTATGTCAGTTATCTTACATACCAACATAAATGAGGTAGGATGGCAGTAAGAAGAGAGTGGGGGAGATATGCAGAGAAACGTCTCAAAGAAGGGAATTTTTCCTTATGTATTGATGATATCAGAAATGCCTTTAGGGGCAAGTATTGGCCTATCAGTTAAGATGCCTACATCTCACATTGGAGTACCTAAATTTGATCCCTAGCTCCAGTTCCTGATTCAGCTTCTAGCCAAGGTGGACCCCGGAAGACAGTGGTGATGCCCAAAGTACTTGAGTCCCTACCACCCATATTGGAGCTGTGGATTGAATTCCTGGCTACCAGCTTTGGGCTGGTCCAGGCCTGGCTGTGCAGCCATTTGGGGAATGGACCAGTGGATGGGACATCTCTTTTTCTATCTCTGTTTCACTCTATATCTCTGTCTCTCAAGCAAATCAAGAAAAAAATCAAAAGAAATCACAGTAGACCACAGAATAGAAAATTTATTCACTTCAGATAATTTCACAGAGATTTCCTTGTACAGTGTCCTTTCCTCACCTCATTCCTAAATGTTGATCCTGTTTTAAAAAAATAACAGAATTACCTATTATATATTATAGTTTTATGAAATTAAAAATGAGGTAAAAACATTCCATAAAGTTAAACTTATGCACATTTTCTTTTTTTTTTTTCTTTTTTTTTTTCTTTTTACAGGCAGAGTGGACAGTGAGAGAGAGAGACAGAGAGAGAAAGGTCTTCCTTTGCCATTGGTTCACCCTCCAATGGCCGCCGCTGCAGCCGGCGCACCGCGCTGATCCGATGGCAGGAGCCAGGATCCAGGTGCTTTCCTGGTCTCCCATGGGGTGGCAGGGCCCAAGCACCTGGCCCATCCTCCACTGCACTCCCTGGCCATAGCAGAGAGCTGGCCTGGAAGAGGGGCAACCGGGACAGAATCCGGCGCCCCGACCGGGACTAGAACCCAGTGTGCCGGCGCCGCAAGGAGGAGGATTAGCCTATTGAGCCACGGCGCTGGCCTTCTTGATTGCTTTTATGAAAGAATAATTGAATTTCCCTACTTTAATGTGACTTTAGAGACTGCTAATTTTAGTTTTGAAGGAAAAATATATGCTTTTGTACAAAATCAGGTATATATCTGACAGTCCATAAGGGATTTTTAAATTCAGTTCTTTATGTCCTTGTGGATATTGAGGTGGATCTCAGGATTTCTCAGTTCAAACCTTAACCTAAAAATCATCGTAACTCTAGCAGTCAGTCCTCATGCAGGGAGGTGTTCTTTTTGCTTTTGTTTCAGTGGGGCCTCCTCATATGGGAACATGTTTCATCTAGACATATGACGATATTCGTATTAGGCTGATGATAATTGTGCATTCTTTTTTATATGTATTTAAAATGTGTCAGTGATGTGCCCTGATGTTTCATTATGGAGGGAAAAAAGCACTCCCAGGCCACAGCAGAGAGGCCGGACTGGAAGAGGAGCAACCGGGACAGAATCCAGCGCCCCAGACCCG